ACTACAGGCCAATAAGTTTAGTAGGGAGTGTGTACAAAATAATGGCAAAGGTGTTGGAAAAATGACTCAGAGAAGTCCTAAAAGGGTTGTTTTTTCAAACCCAGTTTGCTTTTGTGAAAGGAAGACAGATTGTAGATAGCATCCTAATTGCAAATGAAGTCGTAGAAGAGAGAAGGAAGAGTGGAAGGAAGGGCCTTCTAGTGAAACTAGACCTTGAAAAAGCTTATGATAAGGTTGATTGGGATTGCCTGCTCCAGATTCTAAACTTGAAGGGTTTTGGTTCAAAATGGCTGCAGTGGATGAAAGGCAGTATTAGTTATACCTGGTTCTCAATCATGATCAATGGAGAGCCTAAAGGTTATTTTAAGGCCAGCAGGGGTCTACGGCAGAGATGTCCCCTCTCCCCGTTCCTCTTTACAATGGTAATGGATGTTTCCAGCCAGCTTATGGAGAAAGCTAAAAACCTCAATTTGATCAAAGGTTTTGAGGTCGGAAGAGATGCCATAAATGTTTCCCACCTCCTCTTTGCCGATGATGTCATCTTATTCCTAGAAGCCAATTTGGAGAACATCTCAAATGTGAAAAGAGTGCTCCAGTGTTTTGAACTAGTATCAGGGCTGAAGGTAAATTACTCTAAGAGCAGCCTAGCAGCAATAAACCAAATTGAAGGGTACCTGATGGAAAGTTTCAAGGTGAATTGTCGAGTGGAAAATCTCCCCCTTTCTTATTTGGGCATGCCACTAGGAGGTAACCCAAAAAATTCAAGCTTTTGGGAACCTGTGGTGGAAAAGTGTGAAAAGAAGTTAGCTACTTGGAAAAACTACTACCTACCAAAAGGGGGTAGAATCACTCTTATTAAGGCCTCCCTTGCGAACATGCCTGTCTATTTCCTATCAGTATTTCAGATCCCTGCAAGAATCAAATCACAGGTCGAGAAAATCCAAAGAGATTTCCTTTGGGAAGGTGGAGGTGTCAAGAAAGGGCATCTAGTTAATTGGAATTAGGTCTGTAAACCAAAAGAGGCTGGAGGATTAGGAATCAGGCATTTAAAAGAGAAAAACAATGCCCTTCTCGGAAAATGGCTGTGGAGATTCCCCATGGAATCAAATTCTCTCTGAGCAACTATCATCACCAGCAAGTATGGATTAAATGCAAATGGTTGGGACTGCAATCTCCGATCAAACCGATCAGCTCTCTCTAATCCCTGGAAAGGTATTTCTGCTATTCACAACCTCTTTCTTTCTTTCATTAGATACAAGGTGGGTAACAGTAATAGAACAAAATTCTGGACAGATTTGTGGTGGAGCAACTCCACATTAGCAGATCTGTATCCCAGGCTCTACAACCTTACTATAAATAAGGGTGCAACCATCTCCCAGTGCCTTCCCATATCCAGCAATGAAAGAAACCTAAACCTGAACCTCAGAAGACCCTTAAGGGATCCGGAGATCAGTGAGCTAACTGAACTCCTTTCTCTTAGTGAAGCCTACATCTCCCCAAATTCCCAAGATTCCCGAGTCTGGAAACCCCACCCTGGAGGTGAGTTCTCGTTCAAGTCTTTCTTCGAAGCTCTGGTTGCAGATACTCGAGACAGTGATTTCCCTCACAAGAAGATCTGGTGCAAGGTTATACCCTCAAGAGTGAGTTTCTTTCTTTGGGAGGCTTGTCTGCAGCGAGTGAACACCTGTGAGTTACTGCAGAAGAAAAATCTTGGAAGACTTTACATCTCCCCTCACGCCTGTACCCTATGCTTATGTGAAGGAGAGACAACAGACCACCTCTTCATACACTGCCAGGTAGCTAGCAGCATCTGGAACTTCTTTCTTCAGTTAGTCGGCTTCAGTTGGGTGGCTCCTAAGCATCTGCAGGATCTGATTTCTCAGTGGCAAGGAATAGGTCTGAGCAAGAGAGGTAAGACCTATTGGCTGATAATACTGCACACTGTTCTTTGGGGAATTTGGGAGGAAAGAAACAACCGGCTGTTTGAAAATATGTCCAAATCTAAAGGTGAACTGATCAACCACTACTGCAACTTGTGGGCCTCTAGTTCAGAGGAGTTCACAGGAGTTAGTATCAATGATCTCAGCAGAAACATATATAAATTCCCGGTTTCTTCCCCTCCTACCCCACTCTCTACCAGAGCTCCTTTAGTTAGAAGGGAAGGAATCTGGACTCTCAGCTTTGATGGAAGTGCTTATGGTAACCCCAGAGCTGCTGGCATTGGAGGAATTCTAAGAGATGAGAATGGCCACACATGCTGGGTTTATAGTGGTCCGATTGGGATAGCTGACTCAACAAAAGCAGAAGTGTTAGCAGCTCTAACAGGGATTCGCCTAGTCAGCAAACTGGGTATCCAAAGCTTCTCAATTGAAGGTGACTCAGCCAATACTATAAGATGGTTGGAACAACAGGAAACTGGACCTTGGAGACTTAGTCACTTCCTATCAGAGGCAAGGGACCTTCCTCCTGGCTCCTTTGAATGTTTCTCTAACCTGGATCCCAAGGGAACTAAATGTAATGGCAGATGGTCTAGCAAAATTAGGAGTTATTCTAGAGACTCTGTACTGTGATTCCTGTCCTCCTGTGTAATTCTCAGGGGTCTAGCCCCTCTTTTGTATTTGTACACACTCTTGTGTACCTCTCCTTTCATCAATAAAATTGTTAACTTTTCTCAAAAAAAAGACTGGGAAGAACCTCTATTGAATATGAGAATATCAAACCTATTCTTAGTGAATGTTATGAGGCTTGTTGAAGTTATAGCTTAACTATTTGTTATGAGCACATGTTCAAAGAAGCAAATTGGGCCGTGGACTGGTTAGCAAGGTTTGGGCATTCATGCAGAGCGGCCAATTTGTTTCTTGATAATAACTTGTTTTAGTTTATTTGTCTTTAAGATTCGTGGGGAAGAGTTACCCCCTGTATTGTGCAATTTGTCCTCTCATTCCCATGTTATCAAAGAGAGAGAGAGAGAGAGAGAAAGAGAGAGCAAGAACAAGAGAGAAAGAGAGAGAGAGAGAGAGAAAACAGTTCCAAAATCTTCACCCAATGAGGGACTCTTAGTGTGATGGCTTCAATCAAAACCTCCCTACTCTTTTCTTTTTCTTCAAATATTCTTGCATTTCTTTCTTTCCACAACATCCATACAATTGCAGCTCTTATACACTTCCACATCATTCTACCCCTTTTCTTTGAGCATCTGACCACAGAGGAGTCAAACAATCTATCCAAGCTAACAAAATGATCCCATCTACAACCAAAAAGTGCAAAAAACCAATTCCAAATACAACAAGCCAATGGAGAGAATATTAATAGGTGGTATGTAGTCTCAAAATTCAATTTGCACATGATAAACTAGTTAGGAGATAAAGGCCAGCTAGGTCTCCCTTTTTTTTTAACATGTCATAGGTGTTGATACTTCCATGGAAAATTTCCCAACAAAAAGCACTAACTTTTGGGGGAATAAGTGCACACCAGACTTCCTTCATAGGAAAGGACCTATAGGGCAGACTGACCCTAACCAACATATTAAAAAAGGAACCACAAGAAAACCTGCCCTGAAAATTAGGAACCTAAGTTTGTTTATCCAACAAATTCAAGAAAACTAGAAAAAGGGACTAGTTGAAACTCTCTCAGATTTCTCCTAAAACCTAAATTCTAATCAAAACCAAGGGATGAACAAGGTAGAACTTAGAGATTGGTTTATTTTTAAGATTAGAGATGGCATAGAGAGAGAGAAAGAGAGGGAAACACATCTTTTAATGGGGACTCCTCAAGCCAGAGATCTTCCAGGAATTTGATCTTGTTTCCAGAGGGAAGGTCATACCTGATGTGATTAAGAAACAAGGGAACACTACCGTGGATTGGCTTCCAGGGAGAAGGGTAGCTCTAAGAGTCCACGGATGCTCACCACGACTTTATGCCAAAGCTTTTCAAACTCCCCTATAAACCCTCCAAAACCATTTCCTAAGAAGAGCTAAATTCTTCTTAGTAATATTACCTATCCTCAGTGTCCCATCCACCTTCATTTCACTCACTGACTTCCATCTAGCCTAATGATACTCCTTTCCTTCCCTAGATTCCTATAGGAAATGCCTCTCTAGCAACTGTTTGAGGCATCTTAAACACAAAGAAGTAATAAACATGAAGATTAGCTAAGGTGGATTTAACCAATGTTATCCTTCCCCCAAGTGAGATAGAATTGCTTTTCCACATCGCCAATCTTTTCTCTATTTTCTCAACCACTGAAGTCCAAAAACTAACAGTTTTAGAGTTGGCTCCCAAGGGGAGACCTTAATTCCCCCTCCTTGACATTTGGAGAATGGTGGCTGAATCTTCAACCATGAAAACTATTACAGCGGCACAATGGGACAAACCACCAAGATGAATTTTGATGCATACAACCATGGTTAATCCAGGCCAATCTGGTGTAGGGGGGTATTAAGGGATAACCGGATAAGGTAGGGTATATACTAGCATTGTATTTTCAGGAATAGGCCAAATAGTTCTTTTTTTTTTAATCTGGCTCTCTTTTTATATCTATGCACACAGAATACACAGAGTCAAAGTTGTGCAGATCTGAATTGGGCACTGCACAGCTCGTTGTTGTGCAGAACTTGGATTGCTTTTTCAGTAGTACAATACTTTACCTTCTTTCTCGATATATATTTATACATATACTAGCACAAAATTTTGGGCTGTGCTGGAAGGAGTATGAAGGGTTGTAAAAGGTTTACACGGGGACTAGGGGAGAGTTATAAATGGTTTACCAAGGATCCTATACAAGATGATTAACCGAGGTTACCACCTCTGAGGAACTAGCTATTGATGCACGAAAGCATCCTGTAACACCTTTTTCATTACCATATTAATAAAATTCAGAACTGTTACTCATAAAAAAAACTAGATTACAAAAACAACTATAAATAACTAGATTATATGCATGGATTGAAAAACATAAAAGCCAGATTGTGTCAACTTTCTATAATTAAAATTCAACTAACCTTTCTTTTTTTGGGGGGTTGCTTTGTTGCAGCTGGCTTTTTGTTATTTGTATTTCTCCTCTTTCCTTGCTTTTCCACTACAGGCATAGTGGGTGCTGCAGCATTAACAGAGTTATGCATGTTTTCACATTGCCTCAGAAGTTCTTCAACTCTAAGAACTATAAGATTGTAGCTCTCTAGAGATATTGATCCATATTCACCCAATTTGAGAGCCCGTTGGCATATGTCATTGTACCGTTGCTCTGTATATTGCACCTCCCCTGATCTTTGATTCATAACTTGCCAATTTTTTGCATCCTTTGTCCATCGCTTCAATATATAGTGGGATGGGATTTCAGAAACAGCTGAAGTGTGGAGAACAACCATCATATGTCTGCAAAGAAAGCCATTATATTCAAAACAATGGCATAAGCATGAAATCTCTGATTTTGTCTCATCCCATGCCACAATGAAGTCCTGCTGCACTCCAAAATCTTCAACCCTAAACACTGTAGTAGTCCCATCTTCTTTGTCTTTTCTTACTTGGCATGAAACTATTCCCAAAACTTCAACTTGAAATTTCTTGAATATTTCATGAGTGTAGATTGTTGACATTTGTTTCTCATAAGGTGAATAAGACTTCAATGCTGGTGTCCCATGCCATGAATCAGATTCTGCTTTGGATTCTTTCTCATATCTATCACGGAGGGCAACTCTGCATTGTTCAACGAACTCTATCAAGCTTGTTTCCTTGTACATGAACTTGTCGAAATAAGAGATTATGCTTTCAGATCGCTGAGTAGTGGAAATCCCAGCAAAAAAATTATCTCTCATGAAAGTTGGCACCCATTGTTTTCGGTCTTCATATAATGATTTAAGCCATTCATCTCCACTAAGTTCAAAAATGTGGACCATTTTGGACCATTGGTCTTCAAATTCTTCCTCTGTCCATGACCTATAAATGCATTTGTCAAATTCCACCATAAAGTTTCCATGCTTTTTAGTTGCATGACCAAGCTTCTCAGGTATCTTGTTTAAAATATGCCACAAACAAAATCGATGACGGACATTAGAAAAAACCTGTGCAATAGCTGCTTTTATAGCTTCATTTTGGTCAGTAACTATTGTTTTTGGAGCTATTCCACCCATTGCCCTAAGCCATGTCTGCATTAACCAAACAAATGTTTGTGTAGTCATATCTGCGAGCAAAGCACATCCAAGCACCGTGCACTGGAAATGATGATTTACTCCAATAATAGGTACAAATGGTATTTTATATCCATTGGTGAGATATGTTGTATCAAATGATACTACATCACCAAAATGAACATAATCTTGTCGACCTTTAGCATCAACCCAGAATGCATTTCTTAGATGCTGTTCATCATTCAAATCAATTGCATAGAAGAAGTTTGGATTCTCATTTTGCATATGAATGAAGTAATTGAGCATAGCTTGTGTATCCTCTGTGTCTATAGCCAGATGTCCTTCCTTATCAAAACTACTTCTCATGTCCTTTTCTACATTGCTCTTGTTAATTGGACTTATACTCCTGAAGTTTTCAAAAAAACGCAATTGGGTTAGCAAAAGCTCATGGTTATGCTCATCGTTGAATTTATTTATTACCCATTTTCCATGTTTCCTCTTGGTTACATGCATGCATGCCTCACAACCTATCTTATAACAAGGGCGTGGTTTACTGACACCAGCTGAGTTTCGCTTTATCCCTTGTCTAGAGCATGCAAAAGTGGCATGGGTGAATTCCCCACTTGATTTTGAACGTGAGCTGTTTTTCTTTATGGTGTTAAATCCTGCAATCCTAGCATATTCTCTATAAAAGGAATATGCTTCCTCAAGTGATTCAAATTCCATTCCTTTAGATGGCTTGAAGTGCATAATCCCTTTTGGAACATCTGCACTCCTTTCATCTTCACCATGAACCTTTTCATCATTTGTCATACTTTCACCCACATCCTGCCCAACATCTTCAAATGCATGAACTTCTCCATCATTTATCATACTTTCACCCACATTCTGCCCATCTTTACTTGCATGAACTTCTTCATCATTTGTCGTGACTTCGCCCAGATTTTGCCCAACAGTTTCAGTTGTGTGAACCTCCCCATCATTTGTCATGCTTTCTCCCACATACTGCCCAATGTCTTCAGTTCCATGTTCGTCAACATCTGCATCAGGATCTACTTCCATTATGAGAATCTCAAATTTCCCCTTCTTTTGTCTGTTTACCTGCAACTTACTTTTTTCATGGAAAAGAATGTGAAATTAAAAATATAAGTTATGCCAACGGTTAAAAACGAAATGCATTTCAATGTAAAAAAATTAGAACTTATTAAGAAACTAGCAATTTGAAGCAAACCCAAGTCAACGCCCACGGAGAGGGGTTTTTGAATTACCAAACTGAAATTAAATAAGCAACCTACATAATCTCAAGTTTAAACAAAGTAGGCAACACACACGCACACACTCTTATGCAAAAAGTTATACTCAAATTCTTAACAATTAAAGAAGAAAAACCAGAATAAAGCTTCAACTTTTCCCTATTACAACATCTAATACAAAGACCTTTCAACATCAAAAAGAGGTGCATAACGATATCTATAGCACAACTAGATCTAAGAAGAAATTAATCAATCAAGACGCCAAATATATCTAAGTTTTAAGCTCTAAAGAACAAGTAACTGATTTTACTGAGTCATAATCAACCTCTCAACACCAACTCTTAAGGACATAAACGATGAACTTAATACATACAAATTTTAAATGGGAATAGAAGTAGGGATAAAGAACAAGTAGGAAAAATGGAAACTTACTATCACGAAGATCAACAACCAGAAAATGAATTAAGATTTATCCCGAGTCCGCTAGCCAAATCGTAAGAAGAAAGGGCAAGATTACAGAAAAGTTTTAGATCCAGGCCAGCGAATCACCAGAAACAGATCATTTATTTCAACTCAATAACTTGAGCTAACGTCCACAGCTATTCAATTTGAGTAAAGCACAGAGGGAAAGAATGAAGGAAGAAGACGTTGAGCAGGGGAAACGAGGCAGGTAATGAAAGAAAAAAAAAAGGCGCTAATTTGTTTCCTTTTTCAGCTGTCTTTAATCTAACAGCTCCGAGCACTGCTAGCCATACGGTTCCCGTATGGTACGGTAGCCTTAAATAAGACGCCAAAAGACAAAGCTTAAACAGCCCAAACCAGCTTTGTTGTTTTGTGATTAGGGTTACCGTAGACAAACCGTATGGCTAGCATTTCTCATAAACTCTTTTAAATGGTTGTTGCATTTTAAGGCCGTCGACGGTGGTCTCGACCCTCTCTCTCTCTCTCTCTGGGCTCCTTCCGGTGGCCGGTGTGTGAGGGTAGTTAATGGCTGAGACTCAGAGAGTTCATCTTCGCTGAAACATGTGAGTGACATTAAATAAACAAATAAATAAAGTGGGCAACAGGTACAGCCAGTTTAACATTTCTTTTATTTTTCTTTTTTCTCTTTATCCCTTTTCTCTTTCTCGCTCTTCATGAATCCTCTCTCGCAGACCCACTTCGACGTCTGAAGGGCACTTGACCGGTTGAGCCTAGACGTGATTAATTTTCAGAATTCAGACCCATCTTGGTTATCAATTTGAAATGTCACAAAAGCAGTGTGCGTGGTCAACCAAAGCTCTAGAAGCTCTGGAAGCTGGTGGGTATGTCTTTCTTTTTCTGTTTTTCTTTCTAGTATTATTAGTATTGCCATTTTAGTTTACTGTATTTGCGTTTATTCTATTATTTGGGTTTAAATTTGAAGTTACAGAGAGATCATCTTGATGCCTCTGGTAGCTCTCCCAAGTTCCAATTTTCTTAATATAGCAACAAGCAACATTTGCAGGTAGGAGTTGTTTAATTAATGTTATATTTACATTTTAATTATTTTCTTTGAAAAAGTTTCATCTGCATACCCCAATAAGTGTGAAGATGTATCCCCATGTCCCACCACTAATCAGTCGATCACACACTGTGACCAGAGACGATGATGGTGCCAGCTTCTGAGAACATGGATGAAGCTACTGGGACTATAGTTAAAATCACGACAAAATAGAAGATGATTGTCGGTGGCTAAAGGAGGCATTCTCCTTGATTAGGCATTGTCTAATCCCGTTGTTACCGTTCGAAGAGATAGTAATTTGGAGTTTATATACTTGAGAAAATGGCTAGGCAGCCACAGAACTTGATCCTGTTGAGTCAAGAAGTTCTGGTTCAAAAGCATGACCGAACAAGGATCTACATGCTACAGTTTGATGTGCAACAGCCACGACGTTGCAGACAGATTGTATCCACAAAGAGATAATCATAAAATTCTAGCTTGAAAATGCAAATTGACTAGCTTTTCCATATTGAGACTTGAGATGCTGCCCCTTGGAGCATACTTGGTAGGACACAAGGATGTGACAAAAACTGCTTTTCACTTTTGCTTGCTGATCTCTAACGGTTTTAGAACACAAGTTAGTTTTCTTTATTCTTATCCTCCCAAGTTGAATTTGTCTTCATAGTCTCAAGATAATGAATCTCGATGCATCTTCTGTTTTCGGATGAGTTATTGACCCATCAATTCTTTTCCTACCGTCCAAAGCATTTAAAGTTGTTCATGAGAAGTTGTTTGAGTTCTTTGATGTTTCTTCTCCTAGCCTAAAGAGCTTGAGGTGGTAATACCAATTTATATTGGTGTTGTATGAAACTTTCTTCCCAAATATTCATTTAGACCATTCATTAAAGATTATGTCCTCTCTGTCTCTGGTTGATGCATACATTGGCTTGCAAACTTGTTATCATGATTTGAGAAGGCACAACAACAACAACAACAAACTATATTGAGCTGAATTGTAATTTCGATTATGTAATTGAGGTTGCATCTCACGCCTCTCCTTGGGAAGCCTTCATTGTATACTTTTCTGCTTATTGATTATTTAATAAGCCTTCTATTACTTATCAAAAAAAAAAAAAAAAGACACGAGAACAAATATGTTTTGTGCCTGTAAGTTTCTTTGAGGGCTTTGTAATGCAAAAAATGTCTTTCCGTTTCATCTATTCTCTTGGCAGCCATTTGTTGAGAAAGTTTTCTGGTATTTCTTATATTTGGCTTCTATACTTTTTTTGGGAGACCTTTGATGCTACCATTTTCCACACAGATTCTCTCCCTAGTGCAGAATCTATTTGGTCATTTGCTTAAATTTATAATATCTGAAGCTGACTGCAGGTGGTAACAAAGACCATCTTCTAGTAATATATAATGAGCTAAAAATATATGATGTAATCAAAGTTCTTGACACTTGGGTACTTTTTTGGTTTTTCTGAGGCACTAACTTTACATGGTTAAGCACTCCATGAAGTTCCTAGTTATAACCAGTCCATATCACCATTGGCTGCATGAATCCAAGGATCAAGAATGCTGAGCAAAATGCTTTTAGTTTGTTCACTTCATCAGCTCAACAAGGTAGACTTCAATGGCTCGAGAAAGGTAGTCAGAATGAACTTGAACTAGTGAAATTTGTTTGCTGAAAAATGTATTCCAAGAAGAATTTTTGAAAATGCTAGGGTCTGGGAACATATAACTATTGTTGCTTCTCCAAACTTGTCTGAAGCTTCAGAGAAGCAAATGGAGGTTCACTAGAAGCTAGTAATTTTTTCCAAAGCCTCAGATTGTGTAATTGAGTTGGATGTCTCAGGAAGTCAACTTGATTACACTTGGCTGCACTTTTTTTTTATTGATGATGATATTACCCAAAGTCTCACTTAGTACCACATTGGAGATGATCAAACTAGTTGGAAGAATGCATGAATGCAGCTATAGATACTGCTGCTTGTTTTTCGAGTATGTAATTGTTAAATTTATAATTTGAATTGTTGGAGGTTTTATTTCCTTTAGCACGGCATGAGATACAAGAAACATCTTCCCTTGTGGGTCGTCTGAAATTGTTTTACCAGAGTCTTGAATACTCTTGATCAGGCTCAAGCTGTTGGATTGGGACATTTAGTACTGGGTGACTGATATAGGATGGAATGAGGCAGTACCACCAGACTTTGTAGCTCTTGGCGCTTTAGCATATGAAGCCTAGGAAGAAGCACCCTTTTTTCGCACTTAATTCCCCCTCCCAACACATATGGAGCAGTGCATCTCCATATAGGATTTTAGGTTCAAAGAAGTTGTGGATATGAGAGAGAGAGAGATCATAGTTTTGAATTTTAATGAGTAGTGAGTACCAAATATGCTATGTGAGAAAGGACAGAACTTAATAAAATCTTCACAAGATCAACAAGTCCGGGTCGGCTCCTCACACCGACCTCATAGCATGTGTTGGTCATCGGGAACATCTTCTGTACCTGTATTTAATATTCATGGGGAGATATTCCCAATACATGGTGGGATGTGGTTGTGAGGTCGATGTGAAAAGTGCTGAGGAACAGATCTTGTACTTGTATTTAATTTTTATGGAGAGATATTCTCAATACATGGTGGGATGTGGTTGTGAGGTCGGTGTGAGGAGCAGATTTCAATTCAAGATGAATCCGGAAATAGATTAATGAAAATGCACATGCATTCAATCGTAAGAGTGGAAGAAAGGTAACGTAACGTTAACCCATGGCCCATGGTTTGAGTGGTGATGGCACCCCAAAACATGTTTACAAAACGAAATTACCCTTTACCCTCACAAAACTCCCAAGCGGTGAATGAGGTGATCCCCACCTTGCCAGCCGTGTTTGGTGAAAACTCCGGAAATAAAGCCCAAAATAGCTGTTTTCAGCCAGAAGTAGGGCTCTCCAAAGCAGCTCAATCAACCTTTTGGGAATGCTTTCCCATGGCAGCTCTTGACTATACAAGGTGGGCCCCACCCTGACGGCTTATAAGCATTTTCTTTTTTTTTGTGTGTGTGAAAGAAAAGAAAAACAGAAAGTTCTAATTTACTGTCGACCAAAGCTTCAGCCCTTCCAATATCAAATGGGCCCTGAATGTGTTCTTTCTAGTGTTAAAAGTTGTTTCTTACTTTTCTTACGACATTGTTTTCCTTGGTATGCATTTTGTCGGATTACGTTTTTTCGTCAGTGTTTATAGAGAACATGGAATAATTTTACTCAAATAACCTAGGGGCTGTTTACCTAAAAAAAAAAGAAAAGAAAAGAAAAAAACAGCCTTGATAACAGCTGAAGTAGCTGAACTGAATAATTTTAAATTATGTCTTCTAGTGAATAAGTTGTTAAGTAGGTTTTGAAATCTTTAATGACCATAACTGAAGTTGGGTTGATTAATATGCACTTCAAATTTTATTCACTAAAAGACAAAGCAATAAGTCATTTCATTTCAATTCAAGGTTTAAAATATTGATACAGGGCGATATGCCGGTAGGGCATATCGGTACTTTTTTGTTTTTTTTTTTTTTGAATCTGATTCCAAGGGGCTGGTTTAATGTCAGTCTACCTCATGAACCACTCGCCAATCCGAAACACCCCCCTGTAGGGGAGTATCAGGAAGGCCCCGATACAATACATATCGGCAAATATGGGCTGATACATGACGAAATTTTAAACCTTGGTTCAACGGCTCAATCCAGTATTTTAAAACCTGGCCTTGGGGCTGAACCACTTTTTACTTCAGGTCAATGGGTCAGAAATTCCACTGTCCATGAATGGGTCAAATTGGTTGATGATTCAACCATTTGCATTGATGAATCTTTAACCGTGTCAGTAATTTTTTGTGCAATGTAACAGTTAAAAATTGACCAAAACTGGGGCTGTGAACTTATTCCCCATTTGGGAGTACTTATTTTTAGGCACTTGTTGGAAAAAGTACTTATTTTAGGCCAGGACCACACCAATAAGCACTTGCATGCATTAAGGAAATAAATCCAAATAAGTGCTTTTATAGAAAACATGCCCGTTTTGAATACGTTCAAAATTTTGACTTTTTTCAAACACTTTTTGAAAAAGTGTTTATTTCATTTATGGCCTGTCTTGACCCACCATGTAATTTTCAAAATACCTATACTATCCCTGTTAAAAAAAGTGTTTTTTTATCACACACTCATAAGTGCTTATTAGGATAAACATACACTTATCCTATAAGCATTTTTTCTTTAGGCTTAATTTGGAAGGAATACAAACGCAAATATGTAGTGCAAAACCTTATATTTTGTATTATTTTCTATATATTTGCACTGTACTTATTTGTATTTGTACTCTTTCCAAACTAAGCCTTAGTATTTGATGAAAGCAGCAGGATCCGAATCCCCATCTTCGCTAGAACGAACCAGTAAACATACATGCTGAGCCACCCCTCAGTTGGCACCTTATAAGCACTTATTTAAGCCCCCGTTTGAGAGTATTTATTGGATAAATAAATCCTATAAGCACTTATTTATCCAATAAACAGTCCCAAACGGGGCTTAAATAATGACAACCATACACTTCACCGGCTTCAAAAATAAATAAACACTTCACATACTTCGGCATAATAAATTTAAAACGGTGCACAAATGATATTTTGTAAAAACATAACTCTTTATCTATGAAAACGAAGTTACACTGATCAATACAAACCAAATATGAGCTCAAATTGTAATACAACACTGGACTTGTAGCCAAGCAAAGGCCAGAACCCAGAAGTACATCAACTTCTATTAACAAAGAAGACAGAACGTCCCAAACAGAATCACTCCAAACTTAGACAAGAGATTTCATAAAAGCAGCTACAGAAAGTCAGCAATGGCATACACGTACAGGAGGCAAAGTCACAGAGAAGGAATGCCTCCTTATTACCATATTCTAAGGATCATGACTACAATGAATGCTAGCTAACATGCAAACTTTAAGGGCCAAAGGTGGGATGGGGGTGGGGAGGGACGGGTCACGGACTCACGGGTGAGGAGGGGTAGGAATGGTGGGCAATGTGGGCTTGGGCAATTCTGGCAGTTTTGGCACCTCGGGCTTAGGCAAAGTTGGGATTTCGGGTTTTGGCAAGGTCGGGACATGTGGAACAGGTGGCAACTCGGGCTTAGGCAGAGTTGGCACTTCTGGTTTGGGCAAAGTGGGAACATGTGGTACAGGTGGCAACTCAGGCTTGGGCAAGGTTGGAACATGGGGTACAGGTGGCAACTCAGGCTTAGGCAGAGCTGGCACTTCTGGTTTGGGCAAAGTGGGAACATGTGGTACAGGTGGCAACTCAGGCTTAGGCAGAGCTGGCACTTCTGGTTTGGGCAAAGTGGGAACATGTGGTACAGGTGGCAACTCAGGCTTGGGCAAGGTTGGAACATGGGGTACAGGTGGCAACTCCGGCTTGGGCAAGGTCGGGACATGGGGCACAGGTGGCAACTCGGGCTTGGGCAAAGTTGGCACCTCTGGTTTGGGCAAGGCCGGCACATGGGGCAGTGGTGGCAATTCAGGCTTTGGCAAGGTAGGCACTTCAGGTTTGGGCAAAGTAGGAGGATGGGGCAATTCGGGCTTAGGCAAAGGTGGTGGTAGTTCAGGCTTAGGCAGTGTTGGGACAGTAGCCTCTAGAAGATGGCGAGCCGCGAGGACTACATCCCCGGCCATGAGTGACAAACTGATGAACAGCAGAACGAACTGAAGGCTTTGGGAGCCAGAGGGAGACGCCATGATTAGTTGATAGCAAGGTCTTGAAGTTGAAAGCACTTCCGGTGATTACTCAAGTCACTAGGGGTTGTGAAGCTCTTGCACCAGTTCTTGGCTTTTATAGGGCGAAATGTGGGAGGGAGCTAGGCTTCTTTAGAGAGTAATTATAATAATATAAAGCTTATGAGTTGTCCTTTGCGTGTTTGTTTAAAGGTTTGTATGAGTAGTGAGCGATTGGTCTTTGGAGAGGTTGGTGATTTCTGATGTTAGTTCACCATCCAATGATCGATGATTTTTCTTCCATGCTTCCAAAAATGTCATGGTGTTAGCTGAACAGATATTGCTTACAGAACTTAATGTGGTTGTTGACTGTAATGCCATGATCATGAAGCTGGATGACTCTGATCCGTACTATAACAAAAGTCCTATTCATCGGTAGATTTTGAGTTGTGAGCCTAAACCTTGGGTCTGTGGATTCTACTAGTATCGTTTACCCAAATTAAATTATAGTTGTTGGGCAGAGTTGCTTGTTAGATAATCAATTTAATTTCTTCCAAGTCTAGATTTCATTGTCAAATCCTTGTTTTGATCAATTGTACTTACCTCAAATGTTAAAACCTGAAAAAATAAAAAAGTATTCTGCAGAATTTTAAAATTACAGTTCCCCATAGTCATAGCAGTCCCCCCATAAATCGCATCATGTCTGTGGATTTAGCATCAATCCATGGTCAGATTTATCGCATCTGTACGGTAGGGTTAAGAATTCTAAGATGGACTGAACAGTTATTCTCTCAAAAATTAATCTTTGTCTTAATCTGTTAAAAGTACATAAGAGTACAAACAAATGAAAGAACTTTGAGTTTTACTTTAATATTATTATTATTGCAGTTCCATACTTTTGTATCATTATCTCCTATAACTCTTCCTTCATGCTTAATAACCACCACCACTACCAATAACAACAACATTAATTGATTTAACAAAGGTTGTGTTTGATATCATTGTTGTTTCTGCGTATCTTAAAATGTTTTGAGTTGATAGCTACAAATTTGTTAGATACTTAGATTATCTATTTGAAATATTTTAGGATGATCAATACAAATTGCTGTTTCAACATAAATTTGACAATTCAATTATAAACATCAATGATCAATCCTGCACATACATTTTGCTAGTTGAAATGACTCTCATATGTGATCTAACAACTGAGAACATATATTTTCTCGAATTTGTATTGATTAGCTCAGAACATTTCAGGTAAAAACAACAATAATACCAAACACAGTTGAAGCTACTCTTGCTAATTAATTACAGTTATTGTAGATATATGGATCTCACCATGATAATCTAGATGGGAATTAATTGCTGATCATCTAATCCATGTTTTATTAGAAAACTTTTAAAATTAGAAAAAGTTGGCTTTTCATTTAGCTAATATAGCCCCATCTAGTAACTGATAACATTATAGAAATCTGGCATTTTATAACATTTATAAGTAACAATCACTTTCATCTCTAGGGATATTCTTACACTTGATTCTTCTTTCTTTCTTTCTTTCTTTGGGTGCAATACATACATTTAATCAATCCATGATAATGTATATAATACAAGGTAGTTGGCCTTTAATCTTAATCCTACAAGTACTCTTAATATTAAGCGTCACTTGCAAGAAAATACAAACAAACGTGTGATTCACTGATGATCCATGTCAGATAAAATCTGTGTTCTCAACCCGTTGTTGACCCGATTGGACGGATCAGTTATTTTGGTCATCATCCTGGCTTGGTTTAACTTGTAGCCCACTACTCTTTTTTTGGTATGAGCCCACTAGTGTTGATTCGTATGCATATTTCAAGGTATTTTTAGAAATTATTTTTTAATGATTAAATAACATAAAAATAACCCATGTGAAATTTGAAAAAAAAAAACTAAAAAGAAAATAAAAAGTCCGGTTCAAAGTATCAATCCATCCTTTCTGATATGTTGCAATGTATCAATATTTTGAACATTGACTATATTAAGTAATTGAATTATTGACCCATCTGACCTGTTTAATGAATTTTTAATTTTTTTGTGAATCTTAATTTTTGAAAATTTTTATAATGATGATTTCAGAGATTGACCAATATGTTGAACTGCTCACCCATTGACCTAGAATGAAGAGTGGTTGAACCGCTTTGAGTTGGATTTTAAAACACTGAATCTCTAACTCACAAGAACTCTACTCACGCCTACCCACAAGACATTTCAGCCATGCTTTGAGATACATGGAGATGTTTGCGAGTCCGAATCTGCTCCTCACAGAACCTTTTTTGCAGTATGGCAAAAGAGCCATTAATTATTTTCAACCTTATTTATAGGTTCAACAAAACTCAACAATAAGATCCATTATTTTCAACCTTGTTTATGAGTTCAAGGAAACTCAACACTATTCATGGTTAGTTGTAAATATTGTAAGGGAGAACTACAACCAATAAAATGCTGTTTCTTAAAGGCTGCATGAAAACAGATGGAATTGAATTCAATCAGTACACCCAACACCTGTACCTATATCCAAATTTGATTTATTAGTTATCATCATTATCATTCAAGTCTTATCCCAATTACATGGAGTCTACTATAAGAATCCTATTTCATCATTTTGTTATATTTAATGTAATATCATTGTTCAAATTGAGTCTGATTAATATTTTATCCAAATTTGATTTGTTAATATTTGCATTCAAATGAATGTACAACTATGAGCGGATGGGCCTTCAACTCATGACTAATGAATACAAAAAATTCAAACCAACTTTAGTTAATGAATACAATATAAATTTTTGTAGATAAAGAACATCTATTTAAATATTATCAGATTGAATCGTATTGGAGTGGACAGGGGTGGATTAATATACGGATCTAATTCCAATAATCTCTAATTAGATTGAATTTGGATTCGAATTGATTTGGACATATGGATACCCATTTCCATCCCTATATACCTACTATGTACCCATTTCTAACAAGAATGTCAGATTTATCCCAGAACATCTTAGGCCTGTGGGAATGGGACTTCTTGATGGGCATAGGCCTCATATGATTTCCTGTGTCCCGTGTTTCAAGCATCAGACACACCAGTTGATGGGTCTTACTAAAGCATTAGCTATGTCAAATCAACCTTGTCAGATTATTTGTTTAACCATCTCATTTGAACATTATCGTGATCATCTTTTAAAGAAAAATGTATCCACCAATCGACTAAATGCAGTAAAATCGCAATCCATTGGCTTAAAAAAAATAAAAATCGTAATCCACTGTTGCGGGTTGGTTCTGGTGCATGGGCCGGGTAGTCCAGTGGCCCGGCCTGCACCCCGGTCGGGCTTGGTCATGTAATTAGGCCCGCGGACCTGACATCGGGCCTAACACAGTAAATTCGACTGTGTTTCGTGCCAAATTCGGGATTTGTCAAAAAAGCCCGGCTCGAGCTCGGCCCGGTCCGACTTAGTATTATATATTTTATAAAATATATAATATATATTTTATATGTTATATAAAATATATAAATAATATAATATTTATTAAAATATATATTTATAATTTAATATATACATTTTTTATTCTTTTCTTTACAATCTCTCTCTCTCTCTCTCTCTCTATATATATATATATATATATTCGGCCGCTTCAGCAGTAGTAACAGTATGGGCTAAATTTCGGGCTCGGGCCCAGGCCCGGGCTTCGGGCTTTTTATGAGGGCCGGCTTGGGCCCAAGTTGTAGGCCTGATGGTCGGGCCGGGCTCGGGCCAGCCCCGCCCGGCCCATGAACAGGTCTAATTCTGGCACAGCTAACCTTTTAGGTAAATCAGTACATTGGTGTACCTCCTTCAAACATAATATTAGGGTCCGTTTGGTTTACAGTCGAAATCAGAATTAAAACGATCTATTCTCATAATCTGTTTGGTTCAGACAGGAATGGGAATGAGAATTGAAATCAGTAAAAATGATATTTCATTTCCAAGGGAGGGGCAGGGAATGGCCATTCCCACAAATGGGAGAATGCCATTCTAGTAAGAATGGAAATGGAATTCTTATTCTGCCCAATCAAACAGTTGGAACTGGAATAATTCATTCCGATTCCAATTCCAAACCCCTATTCCTGCACATCAAACGGAGCCTTGATTTTATTTCAGGTTCATTTGGGGCCATAAGTATAGCCCACTGACAAAAGCTAAGTCAAACAATTTATTTTGGAACAAGTTTCACATAGATATTTATATGGTCCTTCAAAATTGAAATTATGAGCAAGATAACACAATGACACAAGTTAATTTGTATATGCATTCAAGTTATTGTTGTTTTGATGTAACTTTTTCCTTGGGCCATATTAGACCCTCTGATTGGAATAGCCCAACAGAGACATAATGTCACTAGATTAGTTTAAATTGTTTAATTGGGATAAATCTAATTGTTGGAGGTCGAAAAAAAAAAAACTAAAGTAGAACAGAGCCAGAAAATTTTAATTAAAATAAAATTGATAGAAGGGGCTTTGAAATCAAGCAGAAGCAACATTACAATTGGAAAACATATGAAGATTACAAGGGAGTACTGCAAAGTACCAAATCTCACACATCCACAACTGAAAAATTAAATTCAAGAAGGCAAATGCAGTGGCCCGGTCCACTGGTATAGAAGCTAACATTGCTTGATGTTGGATCAGCAAGGAGGAAAATCATGGGCTAGTGGCTGAGTGAGGTGGAGAGAGGGAAGGGATGGGGATGTCCTTTGGAAAGGAAGGGATGGTGGGCAATGTGGACTTTGGCAGACCGGGGACCTCCGGCACCGGCGGCAATTCAGGCTTTGGCAAGGTTGGGATTTGGGGCAGCTCAGGCTTTGGGAAGGTTGGAACTTGGGGCAGTGGAGGCAGTTGAGGTTTAGGGAAAGCTGTTGGGATGGTGGGAAGAGGTGGGAATTCCGGCTTGGGAAGTCCTGCTGCAATAGGAATTGTAGGCAAAGTTGTGTCAAGAAGTCGGCGATCTGCAAGGACATGGCTGCTCAGCAATGACAATGTGACGAGCAACAGAGGTAGAACAAAGGATGGGCACCGGAGATAAGCCATGGCCATTCGATGAAGATAAAAGCTGCTTAAGAGAGTTAGACAAAAGCAAGTTTGATTGAAGCTTTGAGCTTTGGATTGCATGCATGAGCCAGCGCCATTTGGCTTTTATAGAGAGAGAGGGAGAAAAGAGTACTGGGCTGAGGGAAGGCCAAAGTGATAGTAGTGGGGTTGTTGTTGGAGAGTTGCTTTGCTACTTGGTAGCTCATCCTCTCGACCTATCAATCATCAATACCACTTCCTTATTTTATTTTATGTTTTGGTTGGTTGATCAAAATTTTGCAAATGAAACACAATATTTTTTGCTCTAAAATCTATATGTGAGATACAATTTTATTTATCAAAGCTAAGACAAGCTGTATGGTTTGATTAGTTCAAATTACAATCTACAATCTATCTACCACAAACCACAAGTGGTAGTGTTATTCTAACGAGGTGGTCTCTATTAACCAACTTCAGCCTTGTTTGGTTAATGCCCCATGAGAAACTTTAAGACAGAAACCAGCAAGGGTCCATACACCCAATTACCCATAGTTCATATATATTATCAAGATGGATGACCTAATCTTGATAAACTTAGCAATATTGGCTAGACCTGGCAAAAAGTTGACCTAACTTGTGAACCCGACCCAACCCAACCCAAAAAAATAGGGTTAGGGTCTCATACTTAGCTACCCGAATGTGAAAATGATCCGACCCAAACTGAAAAAAACTGGATTGGGTTAGGTTGGATCATGGGTCAACCCGTTGACCCGATTGTCAAGTTTAATTGGGATTATTTATGCATTGTTAGAAGTTTTTATTCTTTAATTTTTTCTTTTTAGTCTTTACTTTTTATTGTTTACTCTGTAAATTGTTAAATGTTTTAAGTTTTTTTATTTTATATTTGAAATTTTAAGGTTAATTCTTTTAATTTTGACATTTTTCATGTATTTTTTCTTTACTTTTTAAAATTTCAATTATTTTTTGGGATGACCTGAATTGACCCATGGGTCAACCCTAACCCGAACATTTAGGGTTAGGGTCTAGCATTTGACAACCCAACCCGAAATTCAACTCGACCCGAACCCGACCCACCCAACCCAATTGCCAGGTCTAATATTGGCCTTTCTCAATTAAAATACTCAATTGTTATTGAAGTATGGATGTACAAAGATTTTATCTTTTAATTAATATAATTAAAATGTTATGGGGTACCAGTTCATTAATTTTAGATAACTTGATAAAAAATCTATTTGATCCAAAAGGCTCAATTTAAGACAAATATACTAGATAAGATGTTAACTTCATTCATTCTTGATTAACTGAACTTGATGACTGTTTTTAGGGCTGTGCAACCAATAATAATGCCCCACGTCAGCCATAAAGTGGAGCCCATATCTGTCCCATGCATAAGGAACGCTGCCGTGCTCACTCATGATTGATTATATAGCGGCCTATACATAGCAGTGCGAGCTGCAGATCCGCCTGCATAAATAGTATTTATCCCCAAGAACCATTCAATCATTGGCTTCACATACATGGCTGATGTAGCATTATTATTGGCTAGATAACACCTAATACAATTGAAATGTGTTGATTTATGTTGGCCTCAGTCTCATGGTGAGATGTGTGGTGTGAGATCATATTGGTAGAGGGTTAGAACATATTTTATTAGTAGGTGATTTGGACTTGATTGAGAGATTTTGAAGAAGTTATCAGAACTAGCCTTACTGGAAGGTCAAATTCTGGACTCAATGTAAGCATTTTTTAGCTTTCTGGACTTTTTACCAAATATAACTTTAAAGAGAGTGGATGTCTTAACTTAATAGCGAGTTCACATCTGTACCCCACAGGACATCCCAACCTTGTATTAGGAGCATCTTACATTATCTCCTGTACTTATCATCGAGAGATGTTCCCAATACAAGATTGGGATGTACTGTAGGGCATTGTGAGGCACCCACTTGTGGGGTGCAGATCTAATCAACTCCTTAATAGCTGTTTTTCCTGCTGTGGGACCAATCATAACACCCCACACCAGCCATAACTTGTGGGCCATGGCATGGGGCATATTGATTCGTCCCACAGCCTGAAACATAGCTATCATAGTTTCAGTTCACAGCTTTCCATGTGGAGCTTACCTAGTAACGCCAGAAGCTAATGTGTGAAAGCCCTCCCAAATAGGGACACAACCATCAAATTCATCTACTATTCTACTCTGTGCCCCCTCTTCGACGATTATTGGCATTGGATGTTAATTTGAAGTCTTCACTATTTTTTTGCATTGTTATAAAACCCTAACCAATCAAAAGTGGTAAAGATGCGATTGAAGATCACTGGAATTTATGGATTTTGTGTTGAAAATGCAAGGGATAAGTTTCCTCTCTCATTTTAATCATTTCAAATAATGGGCCAAAAACCAAGTATTGTTTCCGTAAAAAAGGGGTGAAAATATAGCTGAATTAATACCGGAAAGACATGATATCCAAAAAATTTGTGACCAATGACCGGTATCATAAATATGTTTAATTAATCAGGTGGAATTTATCAAAATTCATGGATAGATTGTGATCGATCAAAACTCTTCCAGTACCATATCTTTGCAGTATCATAGATTTTCCCTAATTAATATCAAATCTTTTAATTTAAAAATCCCATTTCACAGTGAAACAAGCCCAAGTTAGAGGTTAAGAAATAAACTCAACCAATGAAGGGGTGCTCAACATGGTTTTATTTTTTAAAACAAAAATAACTGCCACGTCAACAAAATAATATAAATTAACTTTACACTACTTCAACCCTAATATTGAATTGTTGTAAATTTGTTTGGTTGTTTCCATCAATTTATATCTATTAACGTATCGTTCATTTTCGTTTTAGACATGATCCTATTTAATACCCCAAATCGTTTTAATTGATCCAACTTTCACTAAGAAAATCAGGTAGAAAGTTTTGCTAAACCCGACCTATATATGTGGCGAATCTTCATATTCTTTGTAACAGTTGAGAAGAGTATGCGACGGCCGACCAACCATTCTAGATCATGAAACTTAGAACATTCCATGATTCATCACCTCATACCAAGCAACAGATAATCAAATAAAATTCCAATTAATCTTTAGTAATATAGGAAATATATGAAAATACAAATTCATGAACTCTAACACAGCTAATCTCATATGTAAACCATTAGATAGATAGAAATATCGCATCCCAACACAGTGTCAATGGCGAATGAGTACTAGTCCGATAGTTGAATGCCAGCCTAATGCCGACCATATATCCTACCAGCTGCACGAAGAAACATGATCACAATGTAGGCTTCTCAGCACGGATGGATGAAGGAACTGATCAAGGGCTAGTGGTTGAATAGGAGGGTGGGGAGAGGGAAGGGATGGGTATGTCCTTGGGCAGTTGAGGTAGTTTTGGTAACGTCGGAAAATGTGGAAGAGGTGGCAACTCGGCCTTGGGCAGTGGTGGAAGTTCAGGCTTTGGAAGACTAGGAACCTCAGGCACAGGCGGCAATTCAGGCTTTGGCAGAGTGGGCAACTCAGGCTTGGGTAAAGGTGGAAATTCAGGTTTAGGGATTGTGGGGATAGTGGGTAGAGGTGGCAATTCAGGCTTTGGAAGCTCTGGAACTGCCGGCGAGGGTGTCTCCTCAAGAAGTTGACGAGCTGCAAAAGCTACTTCATTGCTCATCAATGACAAAGTTATCAGTAACAGCGGCAAGAAAAGCTCTGGGAATTGGTGATTAGCCATGGCCGGAGTGCAGAGAACAAGAGGCGCCCGAGTAGAAGTAGATTGCTACTGCGTGCAATTGGAGCTTTGATGCTTTGGATCGATGGAGGTTATTGATTGGCTTTTATAGATAGAGGAGTTCAGGAGTACGGGAAGGGATGTAGCGTGTAGGAATGATCAAAATTGACCTTCCTAAGGTTGGTGGGGAAGATTTGGGTTGTTGGTTGAACAAAATGAACTTAAGATATGAATGATCTTGTATGACTATGAGCCTTCAATTATCAATGACTAACAAATACAAGAAATTCAAACCAACTTTATTAAACTTTTGTGGATGTAAGTGCATATGCTTAGCTGCTCCAAAGTTAAAAACGGTTTTATAATTAATCAAGGTTTTTAAAATCGAATCGGACAACGAACCTGTCAGGGGTTTGGTTCCCGAGTTGAATGATCTGACTGTTTGAATTGAATGGATGGCTTATTCTGATAAAAAAATTAAAAAATTAAAAAATAACCAAAACTGTTGGATGGTTCAAACGTTTTGAACCATTCATTCACCGGGATCAGTGCTTTGCTGACCAAATCAATGGTTTTTAGCGAAATAACGATTCTGAGATAAAACAGAATCGATTACCTGACCAATTCCTGATTTTTTCGGTCCAACCATCTGTCTAATTCGATTTTAAAAACCATGTAATTATATATATATATATATATATATATATATATATATAATTTCTGTCTAAAAGGATATATAGTGAGTGTATAATATAATTTTGGTTAAACTCATAACACATAAACAGTTTAATATTTACTGTTATTATAAAAAATAAAGCTGTGATGTTATTATCTAAGTCTACTTGGATCAGACCCAATTATCCTGATTAATAATTGGGTTGGTTCTAGGTACAAGCGTTCATTATAGGATTGAACCAAACTGAGATTGGCAATTTGGTTTGGTCTGGTCTAGTATGGCGAATTTTAAATTTTCAGTTCATGTCGGTCAAATTTATTGAATTTTTGGAACTAGATCAGACTGGGTTTTCAATTGGGTTAAATCCAATAGATCAATGGCCCATACCATATTAGAAACTGGACCAATGGACAAGCACTCTAGGGCCTCTTAAGCCTTTGGCCCTTTGTGGCCCTTTGTAATTGTCTCCTTTGAACTTTCTGATATAGTTGCAAGTAAATCCCTTCTATTAGAATCTTCTATCAAGAGGTACAAAAATGTCCAAAATACCAATAAAATAAAATTACTATTTAGGCTGGTTTCTATAGAAAAAAAAACAATATAAACTTTATAAACAACAAAAAATAGAGAATTTAAAGTTGCAACTTTACCTTTGAGCAATTGATATGAAGGGCAAATTTGAAAAATAAATCAATTTCAGAAAAGAGATTGGAAGGATTTGGTCTAGTGATTCATATGAATAGAAAATTTAGAAAATAAACATTTTGGTCATGAAAATTTTGGACATTTTCATGTCTCTTTTTAGAGGATTCTGTCAAAGGGGGCCTATTTGCAACTTTGCCAAAAAGTTCAGGGGAGGTGATTGCAATTACCAAACTTCAAGGGAGTTTCAGCCATTGTTTTAAAAGGCATAAGCCTTGAGGCAAGGCACACAAATTTTGCCTCAAGGCTTAAGCCTCTCAACTTTGATGTGAGGCTTAAGCCTTTGTCATAATGAGGCGTAAACCTCAATACTCAAATATTAATGATTATTTGGTGATTTAATGCAAAAGAATATATTTTTTTTATAATTTAAAACATATAGAAAAAAATACTTCAATAATTATAAGCCAAATAAAAATAAAAAAGAAAAAACAATAAGACAAATCAAATTCTATTAATTTTTCTTAGTGTTTTAAGAGAGTTCAATACAGAAAAGACTAATCAATTTCTTTTTTTTTTTTGAATAAATCAAGTGAGATTTTTCTTATTATTCTAAATGTAATGTCCCAAGTTTTTTATTTTCTTATTTCTTCTACTAATGGATCTTTTTATTTTTAATAATAATAATTATTATTATTATTATTATTTTAGAACAATTTTCACCGAAATATTTATATGGGCCTCCAAAATTGAAGATACGAGCAAGAGAGCTATCGAGTATCGACACAAGTTTGCATATACATTCAACTTAACGTTGTTCTAATGTAACTTTTTTTGTTTTTTCTTGGGCCATATTAGACCCTCTGATTGGAATATTCCAACAAAGACATAACAGCATTGAATTAGCTTAAATTATTTAATTGGGTAAATCTAATTGTAGCAGGTCGCAAGTAAAAATTAAAGCAGAGCAAAACCAGAAAATTTTAATTAAAAATAAAATTGATAGAAGGGGCTTAAAATCAAGCAGAAGCAACATTACAATTGGAAAATATATGAGCATTACAAGGGATACTGCAAAGTACCAAATCTCACACATCTACAACTGAATAAAAAAAAAAAAAAAACTTATTTCCTATAGCACGCCAATAAAATTCAAGGAGGAGGAGAATGCAGTGGTCCGGTTCACTGGAATAGAAGCATTGCTTGATGTTCGATCAGCAAGGAAAATCAAGGGCTGGTGGTTGAGTGAGGTGGAGAGAGGGAAGGGATGGTGGGCAATGTGGGCTTTGGCAGTCCGGTGACCTCCGGCACCGGCGGAAATTCAGGCTTTGGTAAGGTTGGGATTTGAGAGAATGGCGGAAGCTCAGGCTTTGGGAAGGTTGGAACTTGGGGCAGTGGCGGCAGTTGAGCTTTAAGGAAAGCAGCTGGGATGGTGGGAAGAGGTGGGAATTCAGGTTTGGGAAGTCCTGCTGCAGGATTAATTGTAGGCAAAGTTGTCTCGAGAAGCTGGCGAGCTTCAAGCACATCGCTGCTCATCAGCAATGACGATGCGGTGAGCAACAGAGGTAGAAGAAAGGATGGGCAGCGGAGATAAGCCATGGTTGATATATTGTTGAGGACGAGAACTATAGAGTGAGACAGCTTAATTTCTGTAATGTGGAAAGACAAGTAGATCTGATTGAAGCTTTGAGCTTGGAATGCATGAATGAACCCTCCCTATTAGGCTTTTATAGAGAGAGAAGAGAAAGAGTAGTGGGTTGGGGGAAGGGACGAAGCGTCTAGCTAGGAGAGGTCAATGTGACAGTATTGGGGTTGTTGGAGAGAGTTGCTAATTGGTTGCTCATCCTCTCGACCAGTCAAATCTCAATACCACTTCTTTGTTTATATTTCAAGATCTGGATGACCTAATCTCGATTAACCTGGCAATATTGGCTTTTCTTTATGACCTAATCTCGATTAACCTGGTAATATTGGTTTTTCTTTATCAAAGTACTCCATTGTTGGATGTACAAACGTTCCATCTCTTTAATAGTTAAAATGTTTCAATTCAAGAGGAGCATTATCTGGTTGTGTGTGCATCTATACTAGTAAGAGTATAGGGGTACCCCAGTTGATTAATTTGACAAAACTTGTGATCAAAAATCTATTTGACCTGAACTGCACAAATGAAAGACTCAATTTAATTAAGACAAATATATTAGATGAGATGCTAGCTTCATTTTGAATCCCGATTAGCTAAACTTGATGGCTGTGTTAGACGTTGTATATATGTAATGCCCCACATAATTTTTATGTGAAGGTTTTAAAAACCGATCTCGAAATGGAATCGTTTTGGCCATTGATTTTTAGGTCAGTGGTTTGGCTGTCCGGGTCAAATGGTTTAAACATTTTAACAGGTAATATGCAATCTTACCCATTAGATTGGAATAGTAGGGTACGATGAATATAAATATCATGAGAATGAGGGTGAGATTTGAGAAGCTATCGGCTCAGAGAGTTTAGAAGAGAAAGAAGATTGAGAGAGGAGGAGGTCACTTGTAGTGACAACGACAATGACAGCGACCTATAGCGGCGATGGCGACAACAAACTATAGTGGCAACTGCAGCAACAAACTATAGCAGCAATGGCGGCGATGAAAGTAGATCTAAGATTTTTCTCAGATCTCTCGTCTAGATTGCTCTCCCAAATATCTAAACCCGAGATCTCTCAAATCTCTCTTTATTAGATCTCAGATCTGAGAGGTTGAAGTTCTGAACTCTTTTCATTCTTGTTTTTTCATAAGTAATAAACTGTGAATCGTTGTCCAGGTTGAACGATTCAGCGGTCAAACCATCCAGACCAACTGTTCGTTGACCAATTCAACAGTTTTTTGGCCAGGGACTGAGTTTGGCATAAAACAGAACCGGTTGCTTGGAGGGTTTCCGGTGCAAAAGGTCCAAATTGTCAAGGTCAACAATGGTTCAAAAACATTGGTCTATGTCCCATAACCACTCAATAGATCATTTCATATATGCATGTTTGACATGGGGTGTTATCAAGGTTTTTAAAACTGGATCAGACAGGGAACCGTTCTGAAGACCGGTTTTCGGGTCGAACAGTCTGATTGCCCGGTTCGAACAAACAACTTATTTTGACTTTAAAAAAATAAAAAATGGCTAAAATCTGTTGTCTGAGCCAACGGTTTGACCGCCTGAATCAGCAGGTTACTGACCAAATCAATAAATTTTGACCAGAAAGCAATTTTGGGGTAAAATGGAACCGATTTCCAAATTTTCTCATTTGACCGTCCGGTCCGAACCGGTTTTGAAGACCATGTTCCCAACTATTTGTTATGCAGCCCCCAGCCATCAACTTCAAGCTGACTTTCACTCCTGTTATTAAAGACTAAAGAGGAGAGGAGACAGTCAGATTGATGATGGATGTTAAAACTTAAAGCCACCTCATTCAAAAGTACAAAATTTTTCAGAAATAAAAAGAGGCGTAGCCTTGTCATATCCACGGTAAATCTTTGAGAACCATGCTTACGCCCCTAACCAGCAGCTAACCCTTAAAGGCTTAAATAAATAGGTTCTTTTTTCCAAGAATCTATACCTTTACCTAACGGTCCAAAACAGCTTAAAAAAATTTGATCCTCCACTTGAAAATATTTCCTATGCAAACTTTAATTAACTAAAATTAAAATATTCAAGATCGATATTGGATATTGGATGTCTAGATGTCATCTTCACCATTTTATTGCATTAATTGCTTCAATACCCTGACCAATCAAAAGATCTGACTGAAGACACAAATTTAAGAATATTGTTTTGAAAGTATAAAGGATGCAAAAGCTTCTAATTCTATCGTTAAGCTGCGTTTATTTTGATGAATGGGCAAAAAAAAAAATCATGTTATTTTGATGAAAAGCCCATTATTAATTTTACCGTGGCAAAAGCAGAGCGTAATTAAGGGTAAAGAAAGAAACTAAAAGCGTTGCCTCACCAATTGAATATTTTGATTCCTTAAATTCAACTGTCGAGAGAGTTTGTCATCACATTAACTATGAGACGACCGGCCGGCCGGCCAGTTTTAGTTCTAATTTGCTCTGTTCTCGTGATTCATCACCTCATGCCAAGCAACAGTTAACCAAATAAATTCCAATTAATCCTTCGTAATATAATTAATTAAGAAACAGTTAATTAAGGCTCCCAAGTCCCAAGCGATTTATGGAAAAAAGAAAAGCCCATCTTACTGATATAAATTATATATTCTTTCTTTCTTTCTTTCTAAAAGCTATATATGAAAATACAAGATAATGCATTCCAATACAGCCAGTATCATATGTGAGACAAACAACTATTATAACAATAGATAGACCTAGATAGTACGTAGTTTGTATTGAGAAGACAAAGACCCCATCCACACTAAGAATGCAACCAGTCTGATCTCAACACAGTGTATCGACGCCAATAAAGTACTAGTTAGATAGATCATAGATGAGTGTCTAATGCCGACCATCCTTCCTGCACGAAGATCACAATGTAGGACGGATGAAGGAACCTGCAGTCAATTAAGGGCTAGTGGTTGAATAGGAGGGTGGGGAGAGGGAAGGGATGGGTATGTCCTTGGGCAGTTCAGGTAGTTTTGGCAACGTCGGAAAATGTGGAAGAGGTGGCAACTCGGCCTTGGGAAGTGGTGGAAGTTCAGGCTTAGGCAGACTAGGAAGCTCAGGCACAGGCGGCAATTCAGGCTTTGGGAAAGTTGGGAAAGGTGGGAATTCAGGTTTAGGGATATTGGTGGGGATAGTGGGTATAGGTGGGAATTCAGGCTTTGGAAGTTCTGGCACCGCCGGCGAGGGTGTCTCCTCAACAAGTTGACGAGCTGCAAAAGCTACATCATTGCTCATCGATGACAAAGTTATCAGTAACAGCAGTAAGAGAAACTGTTGATATTGGTGATTAGCCATGGCCGGCCGGAAAACAGCCTGAGACACCGTATATAAGTAGAATACTGCTACTGCAATCGGGGCTTTGATGCTTTGAAGTGGGTTGCAGGAATTAATGGAGGTTATTGCTTGGCTTTTATAGAGAGAAGGGTGCAGGAGTACGGTGAGGGACGTGGCGTCTGGGAATGATCAAATTGACCTTGCTAAGGTTGTTGGGGAAGATTTTGGTTGTTGGTTGAACAAAGATACGATTTTCATAGTGTATAGATGAACTGAAAATAACTTTCTATATATGACTATGAGCGTTAAACTCATCTCTAATAAGCAAACAAAATTCAAACCAACTTTATTGGCGAATACTATCCAGAGCCTGCGGTTCAACGGACAAAACTGGTCATCGTCATCCACAAGTATTAATTATTAGATTTAATCATATTCGATTAGACAAAGGGTGGACATAGATTTTGTTCTAATTATAAATAAATCAACTTCTGATCATCTCTAACTGGATGGATTCAAATTGAAATTCTATGTACCTTGAAAGTTGGTGGGTCTCACTAATTCATTGTACCAAAGGTTCAAAATTAATATCCTATCACATATTCATATGGAATACACTTTGGATATGCATACATATAGTGGAAAGATGTGGATATAATTTGATATATCAGAAAAACAGAAAACTCAACAAATATGTATCAATAATACTAAATCTAAAGTTATAATAATTATGAATAAGATATAAATATATAGAAAATGTACATCTTAATAATTTATATGAAGAGATATATTACAATCAGTGACACTGGAAGATGAGTTTAGAACATGTAGATATCATACAATAATTTTATTAATAATACATTAAACATTTTTGAGCTTTCAATATACTAAAAATTTATTATAAGACATTAAATTGTTGCTTCATCAATGAGTTTGATGGATCATTGATAAATAGAGGTAGCAATTTTTCAACTCGACCATTAACTGATGGGTTGGGTTGTATCCATTTAGTCTCGGATCTGGTGGGTTGGGACGTTGGGTAAGCCGACAAGGGAGAGGCTTAATGGTTTGGGTGGATAGGGTCATGGATATCCAATGGATATCCCTTTTAGCCTCTTTATATTCCGATCGGTACACTCTTCTTTCCTTCTTGTCTTCTCCAATAGACAGAAATTTTTAGGGTTTTCTTTGCAATCACTACTGTTTGTAAGCTCAAAAAACAACGAATCAAAACCAGTCTGAAACCTGTATCGTCATTGATGTTTATGAAAATGACCAAATCTATGTTGCCATGTAAGGTTCAAAGTATCGTTATGTATCGGCCCTATCGGCTGATACGTATCATTCTGGGACCCTTCCAATACGCCCCTACAATGGGTGTATCGGGGGTCTGCCCGGATCAAGGGATGGAGGGGTCCTAGACCGGCTCCCCTGAACTAGTTTTGAAAAAAAATAAAAAAAAAGTAAAGAAACGAGTATTGAAACATTCAATACGCCCCTACCGGCGTATCGGGCATATCGATATTTTGAACCTTACTGCCATGGTAGATGAAAATGAAAATGGGATTGGTAGAAGAGGAAAATAAAGGGCATCTCAAAGAGAAGGGGCTTCTAGCTATGATGGGATCCGCAACAGATGAGTTCACATCTGCACCCCACAATGCCTCACAGCACATCTCAACCTTGTATTAAGAACATCTTTCAATGATGTCTCATCATCTCCTATACTTGTCATCAAAAGATGTTCCCAATACAAGACCAGGATGTGATGTGTTGTGGGGCACAGATCTGAACTCCTTAATAGTTGTTTTTCCCGCTGTGGGACCAATCATAACTCCCCATGCCAGCCATAACTTGTGGGCCATGGCATGGGGCATCAAGATTGTTCCACAGCCTGAAACATAGTTTGGAAGGAATACAAATGCAAATATGTAGAGTGCAAACTTTATATTTTGTATGTATTTATACTGTACATATTTATATATTGTACTCTTTCCAAACTGAGCCTTGTATTTGTACATATACAAATACAAGGTTTTGCAATATACATATATGTATTTATACTCATTCCAAACTAAGTCTTGAGAAAAAAAAAATTCATCTATAACATAAAATATTCTTAGGTCAATGAGTCGAATAGATCATTGACAGATCTGTTTTATAGTTCTTTCCTTCAATGGAAATCATATATAATAAAATTATTTTGTATATTTTCAGGTTTTTCTAATTTTTTGGGCAAAATCCATAGGTATAACAAAATCTAGGGGACATTTATGACCGCCACTATAATTTTTATTAGTAGTCATGACTAAGCATAGATCCTCAACGGCTTTATGCCATTCCACCCATGCATGTCACGTGCTCATGTCTTTAGATACTTAAAACAATATCTTCTATAACAAGTGTATCATGGCAATGCTTTGAATCTTGATTGTACCTATATAATAACGGCATACTCATTGTAACTCAAAAGGTCAATGTTTTTAAAATCGGACTGGATTGGATGGTTGGACTGGAAAAACCCGGTTAAGTGACTGGTTTCATTTTACCCCAGAACCGTATTTTGGTAAAATTAAAATTATTGATTTAGTCAGTAAATCATTGATTTGCGTTCGAACCATTGAATGATTTTTGGCTATTTTTTATTTTTAAGTTTTTAAATTTTTTTTTATTTTTTGTTAGAACGGGCCATCTATTCAGTTTGAACGTTCAAACCATTCAACCCAACAACCAGACCCCTAAACGGTTCATTGTCCGATTTGATTTTAAAAACCTTGCAAAAAGCTACAACAGACGAACTGTAGACATCCCCCAAAGTCATCCACAATCTGTCTCGATTGTAGCAACTAGCAAGGTCTCACGAGATAGGCTTAGCCCTATCCAATGTCTAATGTGCATATTGGGCCCAATTGGGCAACGTTCCTGTTAGGCTGTTACCCAGTTAAGTTAGAGATTCAAGACTCAGGCTTTATACTAAGATATTTTTCATAGAATGCGATAAACATAATTTGATAAAAAACTGAGAATGCAAATTTGATTCAGTTTTGTATTAATAAATTTTGTATCATGTTTGGTTGTGATGGATGTATAAATACAAATTTCAATATCGGAATTATATTCACCAACTATACGTGCATAAAATTGCTTCCATCTCGCTCCAATTTTAAATTCAAAAACATGAAAAAAAATGCAAATTTATTATTATATTGCTACAAAATTGTATTCATAACAAACACCTACAAAAATGGAGTATAAGTTTGCTTTGATTCAACACTTGCGCTCTTATATACTAAAGGAGTTATGGTTCAAAACTACGTAGGCTTTGGAGTCGACTTTTAAAAATACAGCAATAGAACAATTGGAAAACCAGACAAGCTTTAAGTAAAATGAAATAGATAGAAGGGGCTTGAAATCAAGCAGAAGCAACATTACAATTGAAAAATATATGAAAATTACAAAGGAATTGCAAAGTACCAAATCTCACACATCCACAGCTGAAAAATTAAAAAATCAAAAAACTTATTTTCTATACCACGCCAATAAAATTGAAGAAGGAGAATGCAGTGGGACGGTCCACTAGGTTGAGAAGCATTGCTTGATGGGATGATATCCAAAGAAATGCAGGATGGTTGATCAGCAAGGAAAATCAAGGGCTGGTGGATGAGTGAGGTGGAGAGAGTGAAGAGATGGGGATGCCCTTCGGAAGGGAAGGGATGGTGGGCAATGTGGGCTTTGGGAGTCCGGGGGCCTCCGGCACTTGGGGCAATTCAGGATTTGGTAAGGTTGGGATTTGAGGGAATGGCGGCAGCTCAGGCTTTGGGAAGGTTGGAACGTGGGGCAGTGGCGGCAGTTGAGCTTTAGGGAAAGCAGCTGGGATGGTGGGAATAAGAGGTGGGTGATGATGGCAGATTTGGCCCTCCAGTGAAATTACGACACGTGGCACCTCGTGACAACTAGGCAAGCACCCAGGCAACAACTTACCAAGTTGGTGTCCCCCCC